CACTGTAATTTGGCACGCTTCTCAAAGTTACATGTTGATTGCAAAAGCCGCAAAAAAGATCCTCAGAAATTGGATGCTTCAGTTAGATGTGAAAATAAGGGTCTTCTTTCGTAAGGCGCAGCAAATGACCTCCCAAGATAGCGAGATTAGCTCCAGTGAAACGAGGAACACGTATTCAGACATAGAAGTGCAATTTTTTTCGCTTCCCAGAAGAGCTGATTGGGATGCAAGGAAGTTAAATTTGTCATCTTGCATGGCTATACATTTTCAATTTGTGCAAGATTCCACGAAAATTCCATTTTTCATCATGTTTATTTGGCGAAATTATGACAAATAGTAGAGATACACAGAAGAAGATTACCGTACGTTTGGTCCTTGTTTCACCCGAAAATATCTGAAACTGCTCGAAATAAATGCAAAGAATTTCGAAAGCGAAATGGATGAAAGCGCTGAAAGCTGAGACCTGCGGCTCAAGAAATTTTCATTATGATTTCATCAAGGCCGATAGCATTACATACGGCTTAGTCATGCTGACGCATTGTGCACATATGCAAAAAGGAGACTGAGAAGATAAAGTCTTGTCGTTTTCTTGCTAATGTGTGCAATTGCACATTTTGCAGGATGTTGGCGATGGGGCGTAGTACGTAGGTACAGACAGGTAAGAAGTGCAGACATATAATTACTCATACTTGCTCAGGCACACATCATAAATGATAAAGAAAAACAAAAAACTTGCAGAAACTTTGGTCAACCTTATCACGGAAGATATGAAAATGATTTTATATCGATTATTATTTACTCGATAGGAAGTTACCATGAATGTGACAAATAACATAGTAACACGATTACAAAAAAACATTTAAAAATTGGTATCCTGATAACAATTAACGAGCAAGCAAAAGGAAATCAAGCTAAAAGTAGACAGTTTTTGGAACTGTCTCGAACGAAAGATTAATGGGAAGTGACCTTTCTCAAAGTTAAATCTTTTTTGGGACTTTTGGTATTTTTTGTGAATTTTTTTGGCTTTCTTTGTTCTTCAAACGAAATTAGTAGCAATACTGAGCTAAGAATGGAAAAGCCGCAACCCGTCAACTTTTGCAAAATTTTGAAATTCACAGCTGTGCTGAGTGCCAAATGGCGAATGATCAAACAAAGTGCACTCCACTTTGCCTATTGCCATTAACTCTGCAACGGTTTATTTCAGCCGAAAAAATGGTTTAGCTAAGTGCATCAGCAGAAACATTTCTCACAGCACTTTTACAAGCGTGCATCTCAATTTTGAGAGAATTTGACTGAATTTAGAATTCATTAGTTTCGTACATGATTGGACTGAGATTTGGTAGGTTTATAGAAAAATGCGGAGATTAAATATCTATTGATTATCAAATAATTGCAGCTGAACGGCTGCGTCGAAATGTTTTTGCCTACTTCGATAAAAGCTGAGAGATATTGAGCTTCTATGATATTGCCTATTAGTTCAAAGAGGAAACTTCAATTTTTTTTCCATTAAATGAGGGCAAATAAATATCAGATGGCTCAGCTGGCATTGAAAACATGTCAAGGCAACCTTAGTTTGGTAAGTAAGGCAGTACAGGTTCTGTCCATAAATTTGAGATCGAGTTCTAGTCAACATTTTCCATGTTGAGCAAACAAGTTGCAGGTGCAGGAGAACCTTGCAGAATCCAGTGCCGCGAAAACAAAAAATTTGAAAACTTGAGGCGGTGAGAACTATTCATAGGCTGTCCCTGTTCAACTACAACATACAATGAGAAAATGGTGGAAATAGAGAAAAAATCAAGAAAATTTTGTAACAATTTTTTCTTGCAGGTGGAACCTTGCTTTATTTCAGCGAAAAAACGAAGATCAAACTCCTTTTTTTTGCAATTTCTACATCAGTTTGGTTCAGGAGCAGTATACAAAAACAAGGAAGATAATAAAAATTACAGGAAACTCTGGTTAACAGAGAAATGAAAGAAAATGACCGAGTGTCGGTAGCAAATCGGTGGACACCAGTGAACGGATCGATGACGCTGAGAACACAACGAGCCGGTCGCATGTGCGAGAAAAAGAGGGTTTGCGTATGTTCAACACGTTCAGTATTCTGGAGGTCGGGGCAAGGGGGCGGGGAGAGGGAATGGGCTTGGAATTTTTCCAGTGTTCATAGCAAATTTTTGCTAGCGATAGGTTGAGAAAAATTTTCTTAATTTCAAAAATCCCATCAGAACGGTTAAAAAAAGCTGTGATCTTCATGAAACTTTGAAGTTTTGGACCTAGGTAAAATCAAACTTTCGAATCTTAGTCTTCATTCTGGTAAGTCAAGCTAAGATGGACTTTCTTAGCATCCATTACTCCTTTACCTAATTGAGCAATATCAGAAGCCGGTTCTAATAGAAAAAGTGGGCGAAAGCGTTTAAAGAGGAGAAAATGTATACTGAAATGTGTTATTGCACTGGACATGCACATTGTGCGTAAAATTAATTAGTAGACTATACGGAGTCCTATATCCGGCGGGGACTTTTTGTAATCGTATTCAGATTTACTTTCAAGAGCATCGAGCAGAACACTTGTAGAAAATGATGAATGTAACTCATAATCTGGCGCTTAATGCATGTTAATTAGTCGAAGAAAAACTCATGAGATTTTGCTCAAATGCCAGATCAAACTTTGAAAGCATAAAACATTGAGGAAACGGGGACATCATAAGCAATTATTTGAAAAATAAAAAAGATTCGCTTTGCTGATTCAGGGTTTTTTCTGTAACCAACCATAACAGAATGAAGTAATACCGAACAACCGATTTAAGCGCATAAGCAGGAACGAGAGAGATGCTATAAGTTACTTTTGCTTGAATATCTACTAGTTTTTTTGTTTTTTTTTTTGAATTATTTGCTCTTTGGGGCTAAAAATTGTAAGACAAGGATAAATGAGAATTCTGACTATAAAAATATATCTAATACGAGCTTGCAAATATACACAAGATAAGACACAACCGCCGAAAGCATTACTCTGGCATCAGTGAGAATGAAGCATTACCCCCTTCTTGAGACTAGTTGTTTCGTACTTTATAATTTTCCGACTGCACTTTGAAACTGGTGCCTTTTCGCCTTTTGAGTGTCTACGCGGGCTCCAATTCCAATTTCATCAATGTTTTCCTAGCTGATCCATAGCCAGAATGTGCTTTGTCAGCAAGTGCATGAAAGGGCGAAAGAGTGATCTCGTCCATGCATGGAATTTCAACGCAACACGACGTAGCCGCAGCGATGTTGCGATTGGTCTGCGTTTTGTTCCAAACTAGGAATCACAGATTAACACTTAATAATTATTTTATTTGGATTCACTGGTTATTTTTGAGCTGAGCAAGAGAGTCTGGTGAATACATTGAAAGAACGGACTTATTCTTACTTGTCAGGAAAGTATGAAGTTCCCCGAATAATAGTAGATGTATGTCGCAAGTTGAGATGAAAAGACTGGTTTTCCATAGAAGTAACTAAGTTATGCATTTGAAATGCTAATCACAAACATAAACGAAAACATAAATATTAATGTTGGCATATTGTCACGAAATCAGAGAAGCTGAAAATAGGAAAATCATGGGAATGATGCGATTGCAGCGCACACAGTCCTGACAATGCATCATAGACAAAGATGTAATCAGAATCATCGATGACATGACGGCGCTGGCGCCAAAAGATTTGCTAGATAACATTTTGAAGTAGAAAGTCAAGAAATTCGAGTTGTCGTTGAGTAAAAATACAGGCATATCACTTAGGTTATGCTATGTTTGTTTTCACTACGATTTTTTTGGAAAATTTTTGCATTTTCGTTAGATTCAAATGAGACTGATAACTCATTCATCATGTTCTTTTCTCATAGAACTGTTTATGTTTCAATAAAGATATTCTGCAGTAATTTAGCTCCATATTCACTTTGCTCAAATGTTGCACAAGTGTGAACAGCATTTAGTTCAGAATACTTTCATGAACTTTAATCTCGTTCTAACTTTTACCTAAGAAAATAGTGTATAATCAAAGATAGGTTTCCATTTGCGCGCTTCGGGACCACACCGCGATTTCCCGCCATTGGAAGATTTTTAGAATGAGCTAGCGATTCTTTATATATTAGATAATTGATGATATTCACCAATAGGCACGTTGTATCAAGTTGAGGATTTGTGAGATTTGCAGAGAAAGTGCAAAGAATAATTTATGTGTTAACGTCGTAACATACTCGCAAATCCAAAAGATCAGATTATAAAGGATTGATGAGAGGTGGTACAAGTGAGCAGAACATAAATAGACATACAAAACTCATGTACCAAAAGATGTTTTTGGACAAGTAGAAGAGAAACCATGCAGATGTCTTGAATTATGATGCATTCAATGCAGACAAGAGCACGCTGCGTCAGAGGCTTGTTACTTTTAAATCGCATCAGGAAGAAGCAACGACGATTCAAATAATCGCACAATGCCATAAATCGAGAAGATTCTGCTCTCCATCATTGGTTCTAAATTCTTGAACTGTCCATTGCTCAGTTTGGGAATCCGAGAAGAGAAACATAGGAAAAGAACACAGTACAGTGACATAGACAAGGAACAACTGTTGATAGCAAAAAAAAAAGCAAAACAACATTATAATGGGAAAGAGCAACAGTTCGATAGCATGTATGGATAATCTAGCTGTTATCTTAGGGCCCATATCTCCTCCCGCCCAGAGTTGTCCGTGTACTGGCACAGCTCCAGCACTGTGCCGATTCAGTTCCAGCCCTGTGTCAGAACCCACGTGGACGTTCTGTATATTGATCGATCAACCTCTGCCGGTACAATGTCGGCAGGGCGCTAGAACGGCGCTGCCACGGAAACTTTGGAAGCAGTTAAGCAGGCGAAGAACGGCTCATTATCCGTATATCCTCCGTACGTCATAAAATTGCTAGCACAGCAGTGGCTAACAATGTAAGGCAAGTGTAGAGCAGGGTGAGACATTCTTCCATATATCTCAAGCTGTCATGCTGTATCAAGAGATAATCTCTTTTTTCGTTCCCTTTCTTTCGCTTCTTCTTCAGCTTCTAGATCTCGAGGCGGAGGGCCGATATCCATGAGTTTCAATTCTGTCAAGTAGCATGCAGAAAGGCGACGTTGGCTGGATAAAGGAGGAACGGGAAGACCAGAACTGTCAGGATCTGGAAAAAAGAGTGTTCCATGGGCAGCTGAAAGCTTGACCAATAGGACCGTGGAGAATTAACCAACCTGGCACCTCAACCGTTGCCAGTTCAGTTGTAGGGCGATGCTGAGGTGGAACATGTCCTGCAAAATAATTTGGATTTGATTTTAAGAAATCAGAACTTGAAGACTATCAAAAGTGTTGCACAAACTTTGGAGAATTGCGGTATCCAAAGCCAAATAACTCACTTATTGGAGGAAGGGTAAGAGAGGGCTTCTTCTTTGGAACCGGAGCGATAGATACGACGGAAACTCGAGAAGCTTTTCTGCAATCAACAAAAAATTTCTGCAGCTACAATATACAGGACTAAGCATGAAAGTGGGTTTTGGAATTTTTCGGAAGTTCTTGAACATCTCTAAGGCTCGGGCGTACAGTACCCACACTAATTATACGATAGAAAACGCAAAACTGACGATCCGTGTTTTTTTTCGTTTTTTTCCTCATAACTTGAGTTTTTCTGGACTTTTCTACACCATTCGAATCTAAAAAAATTTTGAAATTCTCTATCAAACATTGCTATGTTTGCCCCACATGGGTGGGATCGCGCAAATCACGTGAACTACACAGCCCCACAACTCCTTTCAGGTTACATCAAAAATGATTCGGAAAAAGCTTCATGCTTGATCGTCAGGGCAGATCTTCTGAAGGAAGCTATGACGAAAAAACGAAAAAAAACCGGAACGTCATTTCCTGCGTTTTCTGTCGAATAATCAGTGTAGGTACTGTACTTCACGCGACTTATTAGTAGCGGTGCGAATTGGCACACATCGCAAGCGCATTTTGAAAGCACAAAAGATTGAGCACTTTCTCAATTTGCGAATTATACATACTAGGCCTTGGTAGTCTACAAGCACTGCATCTAAAGACATTTCACCACTTGCCACATTTGCCAAACGCGTCGTTAAGTCGCGTGAAGGCTCAAGGCCCAATGATGTTTGGTGAGCTTGATCTATAGTAATTTATTTTGAAAAATTCTGATGACGTAACGCTCATAAACAACCTGCTTCACGTAATTGGTACCAGTTGACGCCTTCTAATGACAAGGCTGTGTTACCTCTACCTACAGTTTTTTCGTAATGAAATAAAAGAGCTTCAACTCAGCACCTGCCATCTATGTGCTAAGTCCTGATGGCAAAAGAAGCGCAATTTGAGTTTGATTTTAGCGTGGTGCAGATAGGATTGCGGTGATTTAGAAGATGTAGCCCTAGTTAGGCCCATACCTTACTCCACTTTACTTAGCAATCGCTGAGTGGATATCTATACTTACTTATGCGTTTTCCTTTTCATCTTCAGATGTAGCCGACAGATGAGGAATATCGTTGTTGGTAATAGTAATAGGCAGAACGCTATCACAACAATCAGCGCGACATCCATACCTCTTGTTCTGCAAAAAATCATAGCATTATTATACAGTTGATATTAGAAAGGCGTACGTACATGTCAAAGTCCATTTCAAGGAAAAAGACAGTAAAGCAGGATTTCTAGAATGAAAAGTTGAGGAGCAAAGGCGCAGTTTGATTTGTTCAGGAGCAGGATAACGGTAAACGTTACCCAAACATCAAGCTATGGATGAAATCAGTGAAACCTAGCATGGTAAACATGCGTGGGAAGAATTTAGTCTCAATTCTTGAAAAACATTTTGCTAATTACTCGATTCACAAAAACGCCATGAAGTTGTGCAATTACGCTGATCATATATGCGAAAAACTCACATGCTTATGCTTTAAACTAATTAGCAAATCTTCATAAATTCTATTCTGTATTCGTTATCAAAACAGCTGAAGAAGTGGAGAATAATGCCGCAGGTGTTGTTTTTGAAAATTGCTGAGTAGAAGGGATTTAAAAGCTTCACACTCGTTGTTGAGAAAAACATAGTCTTTGTGTAGCAGACTCACAAAGGTAATAATAGCTTTCCACTTTCTATAAGGAGTAAACTAGCATTCAGATAAAGTACAAAGGCAATTTTTTCGGATTATTTTTAGAAAAACACAAAGGAGTAATTCATCTGAGATTCTGCAGCATGGTCTATAAAAACTAACGCATGTAGGGGTTTTTTAGCAAAAGCTAAGGAAAGGTGAGATTATGATTGCAGATCGGAAAAAATTATTATTTGCTGGTCAAAATTTTACAGACGAATGAAGTAGAACTTAGATAAATCTTGAGATTATACTATTCTTTTAATAAAGCCAACAAAACATTGAAAAATCTAAACAGTTAGTGAGTAAATTGATCTCTACTGTAAAATCCCATACTCCTAAAATAGCAATCATATCCGAAATACTTAAATGAAAAAAGCATTATTTTCGTTAGCATACAAGAAACTATAAATTTCAAGATTAGCTTAGAAATCAAGCACAGTTCCACAACTGACACTTTTTCAGCCTCAAAAAAGCTTTTTCTTACGAACGATCATTACACAGAGAAGTTATCATCTAAAAACTGTTCAGTATGGATCTTTGTCAAATCCAAGGCGAGTTTCTAAATGCAAAAATGCAAAAAGGTACGGTAGCTAGTGTCCATGTACAGTCGAATAATAACTTAGCTAATGTGTGTAATTACACTTTTTCAGGATGCTGACGATGAGACGCGTGTCTCCCTTAAGAAGTGATGTGTAATTAGTCACCTTTAGCACAGATTTGGCTAGACAGCGACGAAAACCAAATTAAAAACACACAGAAAAGAGAATATTAGATTTCCGTGGTCAATCCCATGTCGGAAAATATGCAACTGCACGATAGCAAAGGAACCTAAACGACCATAAGTGTAAGAGACAAACAACATCCTTTAGCGATCAGGAATGAATGCATGGACAAGCACAACAAGCAAGCAAAGCAGGGCTAACTCCAAGTTGCTCACACGTCATTAATCGCAAGAGGCCAGAAAATAATTTCAACGATCTGTGGACGAGATTGAGTGGAGCGTTGCTGCGACATGACAACTGAGGTAAACCTTAATGCTCCACGTAAACAAGTCAATGGTCAGAAACAGACAACATCCTTAGCGATCAGGAATGTTTCGTTTTGACTTCGTGAATCACGCAGAGCAATTTTTAGAAATTCTAAATATCAGAACTGATTGTATGGAAGCAACTTCATTTCTATCATATTCCTGGATATTCTGCGATAAGGTCTTAGTGTCTGACTAAACCTACGCTCCCTGTCAAAGGTGTGGAGTCCCAAGGGCAGTGCAAAAGCCGATCTGAACGAGGCTATTTTGTGGTGACCAAGGATTTCTAACTGCCATGGCCAAAGCTATTGCTCGTGATTCATTTGTGGCGCAAAAACATGATTTTAAAATTTCGCCCATACAGTACTCTTCCTGAGCCCACGTGGTAGAGAATATGGTCTGGGCTCTAATTGAGACTTGATCTTTTGGCCACCAATGAGTCGTATGATCTGCTGCTGAACAACAACCTATAGGCCTTCCAATAAGTATTCGCATAGAAATTTTATTTCCATGCTTGTCCAAGCAAGTACATTGATGTACCCGATCTGAAACATTTGGTTCCAAGGCTGATCCCTTTAGCCGTTTTTAGTCTCAGAGACGAAGCACAACGATAATGCTCAAACTCTTCTACCTGAAGGCGTTGACGGTTGTGAGAGTTTGAAGCAAAAAGAGCAAAAATGATAAAACCAATAAGGGTGTGCAGCCAAGACTGTGGGCCTAATTTGTACGACCCGCCGCTGCACTATCTGCAGCAGAAAAATGTTCAGGAACTTTATAAGTTCAGGAACTATCCCGCAATTACCGTCTATTTACCCTTCCACCTCGATCTGAATAATTGTTGAGTTTTTCCTGTTAAATCAGAAATAAACTTTCCATGTTTTAAAAATGTATTGGAACGACATTGCAGCCAAGAAAGCTGGGGTTCTCAACAGTTAATTGAGTTGATACATATAAACGAACCAATGCAAAAGATGATTTGCTACTTCTACATGTTCTGTGAGCTAGAAACCTTCCAAGGAATAAGCAGAAATAAGCACAGCGAAGGATAAGTAATCAACTCATTTGATTATATCTTTGTAAAGATGCTTAGGTCGTAGAGATAACATAAGTATCAAAAAAGCAGCATCAAAGGACATTCAAATCATGAGCATTATTCATGAAAAAGACTTGCAGAGAAATTAAGAGGCTCTTAAGAAATTCTATGAATAAAAGCTTAAAAGTAGTTAGCTATAAGTTGCTTCATCTCTATTTCACATAAGATCGCTAAAATCTTTGGAGTATTTAAGGACATAAAGAAGTCATCAAAGAGGAGAAAAGAAGGAGGCAATAAAGAACGGAACAATATTATCATTCACTGAAATTTGCAATTCAGATTTTCCCTATGTGTCCCCATTTTCTAAGTTGCTTTACTGCAGAGGAGAACAAACTAGCAGCTGATATTAATCATACTGTAAATTATAGCGTTCCTCATGTTCAGCAAAACAACTCAACTGTAAAGCCTTATAGCATTGAAATCAAAAGCTCATTAGTATTAATGGCGCTTGCTATTCAACAAAAATAAAACCATAATCAAAACTAGTAGGTTTACTTCATGCAACGTGGACTCATGATAAAGTAATGGTGCTATACGGAAGTAGACAGAAATTGTACAATTCTGGTTAGACAGAATTGTACAATTGGAGTACTCAGTCTGAGAATAACTGAGATTACAATTATGTAGAGCTTCATGGTGGGAAAATTAAAGGGTAGGATTTTCTAACTGAAACGAATATATCGGCAATAGTCCAGCGTCATCAAGACTTTCAGAAATCACTAAAATGCTGCTTATCATTACTAAAAAAAGCAATCATAGCAGATCTGTGTACAATAAACCTGTGAGTAGCATTTGTTCGTCATCATATTGAGTTGGCCGCAATTCACTTAATTACTTTGTAGTTACTTTTAAGATGGAATTAAAACGGCGAAAACTTTTTGCAAAAAGAATCTTTTGAAGAGAGTGTCTGGCAAATTTGACTTTCCTTCTTAGGATGGAACCGGTAGCAAAAATTTAGCTGAGCCATTATTCAAGCGAAAGTTCGTACGATTATTTTTTGGCAGAAAATCAAATTTGAACTTTCGCCCAGTTCCGTAAACCCTTTTCATACTGTACTTGGCAAGAAATTGATATTTCTGGGCACGAATGAATCACCTGTGGTGCCGTTTGCGATTGTAATTGTTAACATTCCATTGAAGCGATACGGCGGTCACTTTATAAAACATAAGTGCTTAGATGGTATTTGTAAGCATGTGAGCAGATTAAGACATTTTGAAACAAAAGGTAAAAGCAGCATTGTGCCGCAGGTGTCAGACATTTCTGTTTGCGCATTCTGCCTAGGTGCAGGTAGCGTTTGATGTTTGTGCCTAATGGGCCGAAGCATAATTTGAAGCTTCGACTCGGCCATTCATGGCCATTCACTCGTCAGTGCAATAAGAAATAACATAAATCACAGCAGCATATTGGGCTTTTCTGAAATAGGTGCATCGATTGTTTTTCGGCAAAATTTTGGCATTTTCAGGCACACTCTTGCCATTTCGTTATGATATACGCTAGCAGCGTCAAATAAAATTGGGTTCCTTACAACGAAAGAGAATTAGGGAAGAAGCATTAAAGGACTTCTAGGAGAGTAAAGAAGCAGCAACTTATCTGATTTGATTGCGGCCAAATATTTCGACTTGGGTGTCTTGCCCAAACCGTATCCCCTACCGTACCCGAGCTGGCTGGTTCTCTTGAAAGAACGTTTTGGAAGGCGGTTTCGCTTAGGATTTTCGTCCACAAATAAATCAGCTGCTTATGCAAAGGCATAGTTAAGGCTTCGCAAACGTTACGCATACAAGAAGTTTAGATTTGCATGGACAAATCCTTTGGAAAATTCTGCAAAAAATAAATCGTTTCGATAGTATCGTAGTGATAAAAAGGCACTCTTGCTAGAAGAAAACATTCATAATACTGCTGCTCCTCGAATATCGACAAATACAAGGTTTGTGACTTTCCTCTGGAAGATTGGAAAACACCGAGGACTCTTAGAACTAAGCAGTAATATTTTTTTTCTAGAAATTCTTTACATTCACTTTCTCTCAATATGCAAGTAACTAGAGTGTGTGCTTGCAAGTTCCTCAAAATATTAAATCTTCAAATCAAAATTATTGTCCAAACACAGTATGTAGAACATATATGTGTTAATTTTTAGCTATAGTGAATGTAGCGAAAACGTCATGACGCAAGACAAACAGTTGTTGTAGTTATCACATAGCAACTGTAGTCAACATACTCGTACTTGAACGCAAATTGTAGGGCTTTACTCGTTGATCACTTATTCAGTCTGTCTCGCCTATCTTTGGATCAGCACTGCGACTAACTTTCTAAAAAACAATTGTTTCGAAATTTGCCG